GGGACATGGAATGTCCGCACGATGTTTGAACCCAGCAAGGCAGCCCAGATTGCAAAAGAGATGAGAAGGCATGGCATAGAAGTGCTTGGAATTTGCGAAAGTAGATGGAATGGGAGTGGACTCTCCAAACTGTCAACTGGAGAATCAGTAATCTACTCCGATATTGTCACCCAGACGACAACCACGAGCACACTGAGGGAGTGGTTATCATGATGTCCCCAAGAGTGTCGAAGGCTCTCATGCAGTGGGAACCAACCTCCTCATACAGGATCATGACAGCAAAGTTCAACTCAAAAGGAAGGAAGGAAGGTCACAATCATACAGAGCTACGCTATGCACCTACAAATAATGCAGAGCAAGAGAAAAAGGAGGAATTCTACAGACAACTGCAATCAACACTGGACAAGACGTCAGTTGGCGATATCAAAATTCTAATGGGCGACATGAATGCCGAACTGGGAGGGGACAACACAGGAAGAGAACTAACCATGGGTCGAGAAGCGCTCGGTGAGGTGATGAACAAGAATGGAGAATTGTTTGCAGAATTCTGCGCATTCAACGATTTGGTGATTGGAGGCAGTGTGTTCAAGCACAAGGATATCCACAAAGCGACATGGATTTCACCAGATACAAGGACACACTGAAAGCCAAATCGACTTTATCTCAATCTCAAGAAAATGGAGACGCAGTCTACTTGACACAAGGTCAAGAAGAGGAGCAGATGTAGGTTCAGACCACTCACCATCTAGTGCAAGGAACCTTCCAAATCAAGTTAAAAGCCTTCAAGGAAGCTGGTGATAGACCGCAGTTCAAGTACAACACTCGGAAACTGAAGGATGAAACTACAAAGGGAATCTTCACGGCAGCCATCAAGACAAAATGGGAGATATCGAGGAACATCCGTGAAGAAACCTGTGTGGAAGAACACTGGAAGTCTTTGAAAGCTATGTGGAAAGAAACCTGCACAGCCGTATTAGGAAGGAAGAAGGAAAAAGACAAGGAATGGATCTCGACGGATACCTGGAAGCTGATAGAAGAGAGGAGGATGGTGAAGCAGAAGATAAACCAGTGCATGGATGCTCAACGACAAGAGGAACTGAGCACAATGTATAAAACACTACACTGGACAAAGAAGTGAAGAAGAGTGCACGCAAAGACAAAAGACACTTCTACGAAACACTGGCAAGTGAAGCAGAATAGGCTGCAGATAAGAGAGACCTGACGACAATGTATCAAATAACCAGGTTGCTATCTGGGAAGAGATCAACACAGACGAAACCAATGAAAGATGATGACGGAAATTTAATTACGAAGGAAGAGAAACAAAGGAAACAATGGGCCGACCACTTCAAGAAGCTCTTGAATCGACCACCATCTGCACTTCGTCCAGAAATACCACCTGCAGCCGCCGAACTACAAGTGAACATAAATCCTCCAACAAAAATGTTTGTCCTGAACGCCATAAAGCTACTGAAATGAGGGAAAGCAGCAGGCCCAGATGGGGTCCCGCCAGAAGCACTGAGAACAGACGCAGAGACAACAGCGGACATGCTCACATCACTATTGCAGAAGGTGTGGAAGGAAGAGAAGCTACCTGGCGATTGGAAGAAGGGTTACTTCGTCAAACTCCCGAAGAAGGGAGACCTCAGTGTTTGCAAGAACTGGCGAGGAACCACTCTCCTGTCCACCCAGAGCAAGCAAAATATTAAGCCGCATCATCCTGGAGGGGCTAAAGGATGCGCTTGATTCAAAACTACGACCGGAACAGGCAGGCTTCAGGAAGTACAAATCATGTGCGGACCAAATTGCAACGCTACACTATGCATCATCATAGAACAGAGTATATAATGGCAATCAACTCTCTACTTCAACTTTATCGACTTTGAGAAGGCCTTTGACAACGTCGACCGAGAGGTAATTTGGAAACTGCTTCATTACTACGGAGTACCGCAAACCTTTACCAGCCTCATTCAACAACTATATGAAGATGCCACATGCCAAGGAATTCACAGTGATGCTTTTGAAGTGAAGACAGGAGTGAAACAAGGTTGCCTACTATCCCGCATGATATTCCTGATTGTGGTCGACTGGATCATGCAACAAACAGTGAGAAGCGAGAAGAGGGGGATGCGCTGGCTGGACTGAGGAAAAGACCCTAGAAGACTTGGATTTCACCGACGACTTGTGTCTGATGTCACACAAACTTGAAGATCTACGGGCGAAAACTAACAAGTTGACAGAAGAGGCAGGGCAGCGAAGACGGGAAGAGAAGACAGAGGTGATGAAGATACCGCACCACCAACAACAACAGACTCCAGACACCATCAATGGGAGAAGCTCAAAGGAAGTTACTTCCTTCACCTATCTAGGAAGCACTGTTTTAGCTACAGGTAGCACAGACGAGGATGTCAAAGTCAGCCACGATCGCAAAGACAGCAAGACAGGCGTTCATCAACCTGAAACCAGTGTGGAGATCTTCTGCACTGCACTCAGCATGTGGAACAAGATCCGGATTTTCAACACCAATCCAGTCAAGTCAGTGCTTCTGTATGGTTCAGAGACTTGGCGCATTACGAAAGGGATTTCCAACAAACTACAGACATTCATCAACAACTGCCCACGCTGTCTCGTTACTGAAGATCAGATGGTCAGAAAGAATAAGCAACAAGGAGCTCTGGGAACGAACCAACCAAGAACCTATCGCTCAACAAATATGCAGAAGGAAGTGGAGATGGATTGGGCATACACTGAGAAGGCCGACTGGGGACACCACGCGTCAGGCCCTCAAATGGAATCCAAAGGGGAAGCGACGAGTTGGACGTCCGAGGGTGACATGGAGGAGATCGTGCGAGGAGGAAATGAGAGCTTCTGAGCTGTCGTGGAATCAAGTTCGAAAGATCTCAGAGAAGAGAGTTCACTGGAGACGTGCTACTGAAGCTGTTTGTTCCATTAGGAACCCAAGGGACTAATAATAATAATAATAATAATAAATTATGTGCGATGCCACGAGAGAATTTCAGGGGAAGAACGGACTCTATTCACTTCTTAAGAGCTACTGAACTCCTCAGCAAATGTTGGTACAGTATAAATCAGTTCTCATGAGTAATAGCGGGTTCGAAACCTTGCATACAGGATATTACCTACACTACTGTAGCAAGACTGTGTCGATATCGCAATGTTTGTATTTTTAAACTCGGATATTAGCCTAACGTATCATCGGGAACTCAAATATATAGTACTATCGTATGAGGAATAACCCCACTGTTTTACTGTATGATAGAACCTAGGTAGAACAGGTGGGTCACTCCCAGTTACCACACTTCACAGTAATATACAAAGAACAAATGGATAGGAAAGACATCAAATTAGATAAACATGTATGAGGGGAGAGGAAATTTAAAAATAAGTCAAGCTATAGAAGATATCAAGGAGTGAATACATCTGTCACTCTGACTGATTTTCAGACATTTCACCAAAAATTCTCAACCAGTGATTCCTATGGTCACGAGGACCCCAGCCAGGTAGTCTACACTTCTGTGTACACGCTCCAGAGACTTCATTGACTGGTGACATGTCTTATTCTGACCACCCTGAACCCTCTTCCAACCTACTTCAACTTTCGCTAGCATTGCACGCTAAGATGGGTGGTGGCTCAGCATGTGCAACATACCCAAGCCACCTCAGTCAGGAGGTTACACCAGGTGTAGTGGAATTGAGAATCCACTTAGTCCTCAGATCGCTTCTATTTTGAGTGTCGGTTGCTGAAATGTTTCGTTGCAATCGTGATCAAGTTTATCAACTACATGGAAAGTGGGATTTAATACTGTTCTAGTAAACGGAACATCATTCACTTTATCCTACTGACTATTCTTAGTTATCCAATGAATAATTAAATGATGCTGTAAGACAACACTGTGATCATTGAGATACATAAGAAGCGATAGATTATCATTATTATTTGTCTCCTGGGTTCCTAATGGGACAAACAGCTTCAGTAGCACGTCTCCAATGCGCTCTATCCTCTGAAATCTTTTGAACCTGGCTCCACGACAGCTCAGAAGCTCTCATTTCCTCCTCGCACGATCTCCTCCATGTCACCCTCGGACGTCCAACTCGTCGCTTCCCCTTTGGATCCCACTCGAGGAGCCTGGCGCGTGATATCTCCACTCGGCATTCTCAGTGTATGCCCAATCCATCTCCACTTCCTTCTGCATATTTGTTACGTGATAGGTTCTTGGTTGGTTCGTTCCCAGAGCTCCATGTTGCTTATTCTTTCTGGCCATCTGATCTTCAGTAACGAGACAGCGTGGGCAGTTGTTGATGAATGTCTGTAGTTTGTTGGAAATCCCTTTCGTAATGCGCCAAGTCTCTGAACCATACAGAAGCACTGACTTGACTGGATTGGTGTTGAAAATCCGGATCTTGTTCCATATGCTGAGTGCAGTGCAGAAGATCTCCACACTGGTTTCAGGTTGATGAACGCCTGTCTTGCTGTCTTTGCGATCGTGGCTGACTTTGACATCCTCGTCTGTGCCACCTGCTTCCTAGATAGGTGAAGTAGGCTACTTCGTTTGAGTTTCTCGCGCTGATGGTGATTGGAGCTTGTTGATGTTGGTGGTGGTGTTGATTGGTTATCTCCATCACCTCTGTCTTCTCTATATTCACTTGAAGTTTCGTCTTCGCTGCCCTGCCTCTTCTGTCAACTTGTTAGTTTTCGCCTGTAGATCTTCAAGTTTGTGTGACATCAGACACAAGTCGTCGGTGAAATCCAAGTCTTCTAGGGTCTTTTCCGCAGTCCAGCCAGCGCATCCCCCTCTTCACGCTCCTCACAGTTTGCTGCATGATCCAGTCGACCACAATCAGGAATATCATGGGTGATAGTCTACCATAATCCACCGTGAACACTACACTTGTAATCTTCATAATAAAATACAGCTTATAGTGGCACAGAATTAAATTGTTTCAATTTAAATGCAGAACAGAAGGGTATAGTTTTTGTTATCTGAATATGCATTATTCTATGCTATAAGAGAAAAGAAGTTATCTAACACAAATACTTCTGAAAGTCATATAAAACAAGTCTCGAAATAATGAGGAAACGTTTTCATGCAGCAGTTATTATAAAGTCACGTACAGACTTTACAGACAAAATAAATGGTCCTTCTTGATGAGGTCGATAAGTAGAAACGACTATATTGTATACACCTCCAGATAAACCAGCTTGCTCTAGAACAACGTAACCTCTCCTGAAGATGGGATACAAAAGAAATACAACGATATGTGTAAATTTATTATCGCATATTAAATCAGTAAACGATAGATTAAGGTTTTACGTTATTGTGTTGTAAGCCAGAGTAAATCAATAAAAGCATTGTCAAATAATTGATTTTACAAATGATGTTCTCTCTATTGTTGGCAATTAATCATGGTGTAAAGTTACGATTATTCGATATTCAAAACTATCCTGTAAGTCATTTAGGCAGAAAAGTTGGTTGGCTTTTGTTTGTTGCACAAACTGAGTCTTTTGAACACATATCTTCAGCGATAAGCATATCATGTACCATATAACAGCAATCTTTACTAGCTCGTTTACACTAGATAAATAGGTATAGTTGATGCACTCTTGAGCGTTTATGTAAATGAATAGAGTTTTACGAAAAATCCCATTAGCAAAACATGAAGTTGCACAGTACTTAGAAACTGTCTTTAGTTTGACTTTACATAGCTACATCTCACCGTTTCTTACAAATAGGTTAGAAGTTAGCCCACCCAAGGTATATCACAAAGTGGAGTTGTCATTTTAAAAAAACTCAGGTGGCAAATTAAGCTTCAACTGTTGTATACTTCCTCACCATCTATTTTTCTAAGGTGATATTAGAAAGAATAGAAAATAGAGGTAGGAAGTACATTGAAAATTTTCGGTTAAAAATCATCATCTAAATGGACTAAAAATCATTCCTATTGACTAATTAAACTGTGTTGTATGATTAATTTTGAACTATCATAGTGTGGAAGTCAAGACTAAACTACAATGGGGAGTTAACTAAAACACTGTTGCTGCAAACATTCCGTAGACAACTTATTTACATGTCTTTCTAATAAATCTCATAGTTCGTATTCTGAACATTCAAAGCCGTGGTACATTAATCCAGTTGAACAGCTTCGAGTATCTTTATGTTCTTACACTTGAGAAGAACAGCATACACGGGAATTTATAGTTAACTGAAATACACTATACTGAAGATGTATTTCGGAACTGGTCATTCATTTCCCACTTTGAATAGGACATCAGAGATCATTACTCTAAACCAGGTCAGTTTAACTTGAAAGGTTGAAATGGTTCGTCCTTAGGAAAAAGGTAACAGAAGTAACACGATTAGATGTTGCCGTGGATAGACTCACGTTTCTTAGCAATACACACAGAAACCGCATGAATAAAAGTAGTGATATATTCAAAGAGATAAAAAGATGAGTGCGAGTGAGGGTATAAAACGATGAAGCTATAGGGTAGAAGACACTAATAAACAATAAGTCGATACATCTGCACTATTGTGATAGTATATGGATGTCAGTGGAAATCACCAGCTACTAATTAACAATCCTTTTAGAACATCAGGGAAGAAGAATATACAACTTACACCGAAAGTCGATGCATTCTGAAACTCGGGTCTAGTATTAATCTAACCATGTTGAGACTTGTTCTCGCTTACTCTTCCTTAGAGAAGATTGAACTCTAGTCAAGATAATATCTCAGTATACGTAAAATCTCAAGTCAGTGCCAATTGACTAACTTACAATCGTTGCCTGGAAGTCTGTGGCTGATGTTTATCAATAAAGCACACCTAACAGTCCCGCCACACTAAGTTTTCCGAAAGAATTCACGATCAGATACTTGTCACCTGCTTAAGTACTCCACCTTCAAATAACACCTGCTTCTTCCGTGTATGCTTACGCTCTTCAAAATGCTTGCGTATTTGTGTCAATACATTACGTTTGTGGCTATTGCGTTCCTCACTGTACTAACTGGATGCTAGGGATATGCATCAGCGTTTGTTAAGGAACCTTCTCTTACAACTTTAAATCTTATCTATTGACAGGAATGTTACATTAAGCGGATCGATAAACGATCTGATTTAGTGAAATTCAAGCATTTCTTTCTGTCCAAAGACCATACATAATAGGGTTCATATACTTCGGAATTCATAGCGATGGAAAACAGTAGAGGATTGAAAACTCTTCTATTAAACAACAGTATTGATTCATCATCTCCAAGCGAAACTAATTTTAAGAATAGCCGGTCTGAATCAGTCAATCAGTTAGTATCGATGTGACATCTAGCTTTACGGTATAGCGGTCCAATTCGCCACATGAAGGTAGAAGATACCAAAAGGAAAGACAGAGAAATACGGGATAAGTTGTCAAAATTTGTTGATCGTCATAAAAGATAAGAAGGAAGCAAACTTAGTATGAATATTAGGACGATGATAATGTGTACATGAATTTGAGCCACTGAGACCGATTTGGAGCCATAACATCAAGAGTCTCCAATCACTAGAATCTGTTATCACACGGATCTACGCCGGGAAGTTTACGATCCACGACATAGCTCAGACTGATATTCAATAAAGACTCCATGCAATAATTTCATGTTTTAGTCTAGCAGCCTCCAACCTCTTTCCAGCCTGAACATCAGACAAAGATCCAACGTACAACTTCGAACAAAAGTACATCGGTTCAAGTCGCCAAATTTCACAATAGCATAAAAACAATAAGTGGACAGAAAAAGGCATATCGAAGAAGACAAAAATTTATAAGAGGAGAGATAATTTGGAAATAAACATTATTGAAAATATCCAAGCTTTGCAAGGCGTCAAATTATGAATACATCTGGACACCATTGTGACCTCTTTTCAGCCAATTATCAATAGTCTTAAACCATTGATTCATATCGTCTCGAATATCCCAACCAGATAGTCTACACCTCCCTATGAAGCTCACATTAACAGTCAGAGAGTTCATGGACTGGTATCATGTCGTGGCATGACTATCATCAGCTTTCTTCCGACCCAATCCTACTTTAGCTAAAATTGTGCCTCATCGCAGGTGATGGCTTATCGTGTACAAGCCCTCTCAGTCGACTAAAGTTCACAATCTCATCAACTGAACTGCCTTCCCTCCCTAGTAGTTTTCCGCTTTTCTCTACATTGCCCACATGTGATCTCACCATACGAAGACACGTGACAAAAAAATTGTAACCACTGCATATCTTCTACTCCCAACGGCCATGTCTCAGCCACATAACAGGACAAACTGTAGCGCAGTATGCTCGAACTTTGATAGGTAGCCAGATATCTCGGCAGTCACTAGTTGGCAAATGCCAAACAGGTCCTCCTTGTCCGAGATGAAATTTCGCCAACCCGTTCAAGCTGATAAAAACCCCTAAGTAAGTGAAGTGGACGACACATTTCACCACTTCATTCGACAGAGCCGAATGCCGCCTTCAGGTCAAGAAATGTGGCAAGTGTCGGGAGCCGGTATGTCTATCTCCGCGACCTGTTGGAGTGTGAAAATATGGTCGATAGAGCTTCAGTTTAAACTGAAACCTGGTTAGTTCTCTCGAGTTTGCCGTTCTCGTGCTCTCGCTAGGCAGTGAATAACTATGGAGCCTAGGATCTTGGACACAGTACTAGTCAAACGAATTGCTTTATGGCTGTCAGACGAGAATTTCCCCCCCTTTTTATAGACTGGGATGACCAATGAAACACACAAGTCTAATGGTACTACCTCTGATTTCCTTACACCACCTAGTACTTCTGTTACTCTAATCATCAATTACTTGCCTCCATCCTTGGAAATGTCGGGTGGTAAACCTATCAGGTCCTGCTGCTTTCCATCGTTTCAGGTTCGATACGGCCTTCTCAACTTCAAGAAGATTTGGAGGACCGACATCTACGTCTTATTCAGGTTCAGAATGGATGTTGGGCAACTGAAGCGTTGCTGACAGCCAACCGAACTTTGCTTCAAATGTTCTGCTCAAAGTTCTAGCCGTATGTCCTGGGGGATTATCAGCGTCCTATCCTTATCGATGATGGTTTCACTCACGCCGTTGACGTTTCCTTGCCATGCGACTCCGTAGATACCTTTCCGACTGGGTCGGATTTTTCGATTGATCTTTGAATTCGCATGCTACCTATGACTGCGTCTGAATGTTTTTCTTTCTGTAGCAAAATTGACAGCTTTTCCTAGAGTTCACCCTCTGCATTATCCGAATGGGGTCTGTTGGTGGAGATTATAAATAGGCATCGCCCAGTCTCCTGATCCTTCTTAGTTCTGAAAGATCCATACAGTCGGATAGCACACAGACGGTTGTTGACTGGTCACCAGTCGAGAAGTGTACTTCCTGCTCGAAAGCCCAATGCCATGCCTACACCAGCGAGTTCACGAGAGCTAGCCACTGAGTCTTCAGATACTCCTAAAAGGAATTATGAAGAATCAGTCGTATGAGGTTAAGTTAATAACCACAGTCGGGGGTCCTGTTTACGTGGCTCCGAGACACAACATACACCCATAGCTAGAGATTTCAGAGTCTTGGCGAGCGATGTCTGCTGTTCGATTTGGCATAGGCATCAGGCGTTTAGGGATTAAGTGTGAAACCGATAGTAGGGTCTCAGAAGGTATTCTTGGGGTCAACCTTTTCTAACCCCTTCCCTTTCTCTTAGGGAAAACGTCATCAGCGTGGCACTGCTGGTCATCCAAAGGAAACACCTTACTGCTGTCACATCCCAGCCCAACTAGCAGCATGACTTCACCCTTGGACATCCATTAAAACGCAGCAATTTACACCATATCGGTAGCTGATCTGTATCTTATCAATATCCAACAGACCTTTCTGATTGGGTAGGACCTCGAGGGAACAAGCGGTCCAGCCAGTGTAGCTTATCGTGATATGCAAGCCCCACGATCATATCAAACTAGCAGCTATAGGTCGGGCACCTACTTCAGTTAACAGTGTTCAACGGGACAGATGTTGACTAGTCATGCGTAGCATATATCTCAGCCATCTGAGTAGATGAAAGTTAAGCTTATCGGTTCACTTGCTTCTGTTCAAAACTCTACGCCTGACTTCTGCGTTACTTATCCTAGTGAAAGTAAAAAACAAAAGTCATACAATATGTAGAAACTTCATGGATGACACCGTCATGTAAGGCTTTTTCGAAGACGTTCAACAAATTGTAAATGAGGTAACAGATGTCGAAGTCTTCGGTCCAGAGAAGACCAAAAGCAATTGGGGCAAGACAGTCAAGGTAAAATTCAATCGACAAACTAAGATGTCTGATAATCAGAAACTCAAATACTTTTAGACACTGTCAACAGTTATCTATAGATAATAATATGAAGGTTATACATCTCAAGTATTATTGAGTAGACAATATTTTTACTTCGTAACCTACTGGGCGAATAAATTATCATTTACAGTTACTAATTGTGATCAGTATAATTTACCTGTAATCCCCAGTAGTTAATCGATCCTGTTGATTAGGTGCTTGATCATTTGTAATGGATATACGAATCAGTTCCAAACCCAGTGCATAATCTCTATAGTAGCGGATTATCAATATTGTTTAATAATTCAGAGATGCTATACACAAAATATTCAAAAAATTACAAAAATAAACGAATACGCAAAAAAGCCTCAATCAACAGAGGCGGTCCTGGACCTCGTAGCTCAGTTGGTAGAGCACCGGGCCGGTAACCCAGTGTTCGCTGGTTCGAATGCGGCCGCGGCAAATAATTCCGCAGAATCAACAGCTCAAGCTTCATTGACATTTAACATTGATGTTGACCCTCATAGTTTTAATTAAATTGTTAGACTGAAGGTATACAGTCAAGCATTGAAACTATTGGGCATGTTGTCGTATCACGTTATTTTGCTCCTTCAGTATCTCCCAAGTAGCGCTCGGTGATGTTCTCTGTCAGTCTCACACTTGTGGGTATTCGACAAGTACAAAGAACTAATGATTGGCCTCTGTGTCTGTTCGGATCCTGTGTGACAACTCCTAAAAGCCAATACTAAATTGAGTAATCATGCAGAACATTATTATGAGTAGTGAAGAAATGTTTGTTATCTAGATATAATATATTTCTTTGATATGGGATATACATATTTCTAAAGTCTATCAAGGTGTATCATCCTGAGTAAACAGCAAGTAGCTGTTAGGTCCCGTGTTTAGAAAAATATGAAGAACTCAGTCTAGATTATATTATAGCCGGCGCTGAAAAAATGTACCTACCCAGAGATTTTCTTTTTGTTGGTTAAGAAATATTCAAATTGGAAACACTGAAAGCAGTAGCTTAACTCTTAAAATCCAACTTCTAAATACTAACACCTAATTCTGATTTCATAATATCTAGAGAGAATTTCCATAATCCTGATTCCAAAGCTATTTCTTTTCTGCACAAGAAACACCCTAAGTCTGAATAAATTCTACAGTATTTACGTGTTGAGCATAGTGTAAGCGTTCAGCACTTTCCAAGCTATCGTAAGCCAATGAATGAACCTGAACATTGTCGGCCTATTTATCTATTTAAAGCAAATTGCATCTTGAGAACAATCAGTGTGTATCCGGCAACTCACACACACACGCACACTTGAAAATGAAGTTAATGATCATACCGAACAGTTCAAGCATTGCTGCGAGTTATGAAAATGACACGGACGCACTAAATTCAACAAAGAGATGAATTTCAATCCTAGTCTTTGTTAATTTTACGAATTTCTCCAACTGACTTAACTGGGGCGGTCAAAAGTATCTGGAAGTGATGAAATAACATGATATAGTTTATCAAAATACATCCACGTTATAGGAGAGGAGAAATGTTAATTTCAGTGCAAAGCTGTACGCCTGATAAACCCATTTATATTTCGTTTTGCACTTGAATCATTCTAGTCCCATGAGACATAGATAAGTGTACAGATGCATACTTCAAATGACCACAGGTTATCTAGATCTCTATTGAGGCAATTATATGCTTAGTAAGTTGGATTTATTGTTTATTAAAAATGAACAACACGAAGAAGCCTGTAAATACGATATAGATTCCAAGTATGAAAGAAAGGAAGTTGAATACATTCCTTATATTCTGTCACCACCGTATACAACAGATTTAGCTCACAGTCAAGTGCATCCACCTTTGTACATGATTGCCATTACATTCCCTTACTTATTTCACTAGGAGTGATGTGTACACAATATGCAGTAAGGCAAAAATAAATTACCTGGGCCCACGTAATTCAGCGAGTATCTGATTATCACCATCATTATTAGGTAACTCAAGTTGATATCGTGGATTACTTCTGTACTTTTCCTTGTCATTTATCGAACCACCAGCATTTGAACCTTTCCATTCACCAGTAATCTGAAAGATGATTGATACAGGAAATATATGAAAAGCGTTTATATACAACCAAGTTTGTGCTGAAATTTGTATGTATTTAAAGGCTGAAGGACAGAAGGGTTTAATTCGAGTAATTTACCTGCAGTTGACTTGCTATTGGCATTGAACCTGAAGTAGGACACTCCTGTTGATACAGAAAGCCTCATACTTTAAGGTCATTCCTTCATACACTGCTATCTCACGGTCTAAAGACGGTTTATTGGGTTAAACAGATTGTGTATCTGTAACAAGTGGACATCTAAAGCTTCAATGGCTGATGTACTGCCCTGTTGTGAATACAGTATTGTCTATATTGGGTTCCAGTATCAATGGGAACACCGCCACTCACTGGGGTGCAGGTGAATCCAATTGACGAATCCCAAACAGGAAGTTCTGGGCTCCACTGCTAGTCGTCAACATGAGTACAACAATATTGTCTATTTGATGACTTCTTATCTAAGCAGGGGAATATTGCTGTAATATTTATTCAAGATTATTGAGTAAACAATTCACAAGTAAATCATATTTTTGAACACATTTTACCAGCCCTTTCGCTCATTGGCTACTTGTTCCTATCTGACTATATACTGTTGTCTGATTGGTCAATGCATTGAGTTAACCGAGAGACATAGAACTTGGCAATTTCACTTCTTGCTGACAATAGTTCATATAACTTTTCGATGTTACATAAGGTCGGATATGAGAGTAAAAATCATATGATTGCCTATTATAATTAAAAGAACACTAGACGTTTTCAATTAAAGCAACTCTTTGTTGCATGAATTCAGATGAAATTAGTAACTGCGAGATCAATAAAAGTCGAACATTACTCAATATCTGCCATCAAAAAACAGTATGAAAATCTGAAAACACTGCAGTACTCTTCGATTAATCTATCAAACTGACACAGTAATCTATCAATTCCAATTTACCCGTATTTCAGATGTACAAAGAAAACTGTAAATCACTACTTAGTTTCTCAAACAAACAAAGTTGAAAGCATTTAGACCAATTTACATAAAGTCTCCTGCTATCGCGAGAGCAACCATGAATCTTGAGGTGGCTAAATGTCTTGTCACTGACGCATATTTAAGCCGAAACGTAACTTAAAGACTGAAGTATTTTGTGTTACTAGCCACTGAATATCAAGCTGTAATGGCTTGGGAAATTTTGATCCAGAAATAGTTGCAAATTGGTCAACTTCTGCATCATTCTCAGTTTGTGACTGAGATAATCGATCATCTACAGCTGATTTTCGAACAACACTCTATCGATAGATAAAATTCTGAAGTGGCCAGCAAGTTTACCTGCACACTTCGCATAGGTCGCAATTCTATGTCCTACTACAGAAAAAGTATGTGAACGGCTGATTATGGATCAAAACGCCTGGTATGCTTTTTCGTATCGTAAAAAATACAAAGCGATTTTACTTTTGCTTTGTTTTTGATCTCAGTAAGCAACTACCTACCTCCACTATTATCCTGTTCAACTTTGACTGTTTGAAACTTCTCGAATCCCACTAGATACGATATCAAAGTGCAGGACAGTCTGATCTACGATTAAGCGATATTTAGTCCATGTTCACAAAAGTGTGTGAACGTGTGACTACAAACGCAATCGAATTAAGAATACTCAATTGGCTTGGTAAGTACTTTACAGCTGAGCGAAGGTACGGAAAAATTGGCTTGAAATTTTTGAGCTGTAGTCAATACATAAGCAGTAGTAAGACTATACTTTACAATAACCACAATCTCTTATATTGATATTAGTAACTAACAGAGGAATCCAGGACGCACGTTTCGTCCTGTTTAGGACTTGTCGGCTGGATGTGCTTGGATTCCAGTCTCAGCGGAAACAATATCACTCACTAGGATGCAGGTACATCCAGCTGAAGAGTCCTAAACAGGACGAAACGCGCGTCCTGGATTCCTCTGCTGATCATCAACATCAATAAACACCATTAATATCAAGGAGTATCCACTTAGGAGCCCATCTGCCAACAGAGTCCCAGCAATTCGGCCATCTATAACAACGGGAAATTACAAGTGTTATAACATCTACGATATCTATTTGCCTGCACCTCCAACTTAGTTGATCCCATAACTCAACTTATCACTGGAACTCGAGAAAATGTACATCAGTTCAAGATGAAAGTTAAATAACTCACACAAATCATCTCATTTTTAGAAAAACGTTTTTTCAGGAGCTAAATCTGTACATGAATAGGCTTCCACATTTTTCCTCACTTCATATTTAGCGGAAATTAAGGTCGTCTCCCACCCTCACATGTGTGTGTGGTCGCATATACGTAGGGAGGGGTAATGGAGCCGTGCAGCTGACAGTGGGAGGACATGCACCTACATCACTTCATATCTCGCACCTTTTTTATGCCTAAATAGTGGGATAGATAGGGTCGCAGAGTAGGACTGTTTCACTTAGGCTAGTATAAACATATGTTGTACTTTCACAAGAAAACTACTAATCATAGATATTTGTTTTCGAATAACTTGTTCACTTGTAATGCTTCACATAACAGTGTTGTAATTAAAACAATAAGTTGTTGTAACATACAGTTTAAATATTCTGAATTAGATTGTGAACTTATCTTCTGACTAGCTACCTCATTCGGCTTTATTATCTTTATGGATCGATGAACTGTCACTTGATTCAAGTATTCGATATACTATTCCTAAATAACAAAACCTATTTAATTGCTATTGTTTCCTTCTGTAAACAATATAGATTCTGAAAAATCTTAGTTATGAACACTAATACAAAGAAACTATGTAAGATGTGACATTTGAAAGAGGTACTACACATCGGAACCTACAGGTGAAAAGATCAGATCAGTACTAAAAGTTTTCACAGCATTTACAGTGGGTCATAAAATCAGAAACTGATTGCAAATAGGGAGAGGATTTACTAACCAGGGGTCACTAAGCAAATTACACTAATGTTTCGAATAATACGATCATACATTGACTTGTTGAACTATTTATAAGAAAATTTACGAAAACGTCAATTAAGTCAGTAGGTAACATAAAAATAGAAAGGGTATACTAAAACCTTAATTACATCGGTATTAGTATGAAAATTACAATCAATACTAGAGAGGTAGTTTCAATGTGTACACAAACTGCTTTTGAATTTGGGTTCTGACTGACAGAATCAATGAAAAACCTCACCTCGCACAGGAGTGCATCGTTTTAAGTTGCCACAGCTCATGGTAGTACGTAGACAGCAGGTGGATAGAAAAGGAGTGACATCAAAGTAGATAAAGTAGTGTGAGAGAATAAACAGTCTGAAGATAAAGGTCAATGTGAATATTCAATCCTTAGAAGGTATCAAGAAGCGAATACATCTGCGCCATGGTGACCGGTTTTCAACCATGTCACCAAGTGTCCTCAACCACTGATTCCTTTCGTCTCGGTAACTCTAATCACGCAGTCTACATCTCCCCACAGGGCTCAAGCCAACAGTCGAGGACTTCATCGATTGGTGTCAGGTCTTGTCCTGGTCACCCTTGACCCTTTTCTAGCCTAATCCAACTTCTCGCACCAGCATGGCACATCGCTGTAGGTGGTGGCTCGACGTGCACAGTACATGTCCAAGTCATCTCAGTCGACTAGGGTGAAAACCTCTTCAATCGACTTGCCTGATGTCTTTCACCTGACAGTTCGGTTATATTAAAAGTAGACGAAAATATGACAATATAGTTAAAGAAATCTCAGATCGCCAACAACCAGGTAAATTAATACCCAGTTAATCCAGAAAATTATGTAACGAATTTATCATCCGTTCAGTTATCTGTTCTTAATAAAGAAGCACTCTTAGGTTAAACCTTTATATCTTTCAAACACAAAATTCTGGTTTAACGACTAATCCCCAATTCGAAAATCTACATGGTCAACCAAGCTCACTTGTCCCAACTCCTTGAGACAATCAGAATTGGATGAGAGCTAAATTATTAGATACTATTCATGGATTTTTTAAATCCGAGTCCAAGACAGAAAAGCATCTCAAAGCATAAGCATTTAAAAGTGCTCAAAGGATTATAAAATAACTCTGACGTTGTTATACTTAAACTTAATAAGGAATCAGATGTGGTTTTTATGAACAGGTTTGATTACAAAACTAGAATGGTTATGCATTCTTAGTGATGAAAACGAATATATGTCAGATGTCCCTTCTGAAGGAATACGTAAATTGCAAGGAAGAGCGAACTCCAACCTGGTGAAAATGTTCAGTAAAGACAAATTTATTTGTTAAAAACATATGGGATCTGAACATTCACATCGATATGGCTTACGTAAAAAACATAAGGCTGACAATTCTCTATATCCAATATTGTTTATCTGTCAATCATTCACACATAGTGGTTGGCAAAACTCTTGAGTCCGATGAAAAGTTCTCACTAAAAGATACATATAACCTTATTGACTACTTAAGTGATATTAATATCAAAGATAAGACTGCGTACTCTTTCGTTGTAAATTCTTTATTTACTAATGTGCCACTGGTAAAGACGATTGATATTTTATGACTATTTCTTCAGTCTTATATTTCCTATCCCTCCTAACTTTTTGAACGACATTATTATTATCTACTGGCAAAGTTTGATTTACATTCAACGATGAATATTTTCGACAGATTGAAGACACATAGATGGGTAGCCCATTAGAACCGTTGCTAACCTATGCATTTATGCCATATATTGAAAACTTGGCTGATAATCTCATCGGGAGAGTTTCACTTACTAAACGATATTTCGGTGATAGTCAGAATATGTGGAAAGCTTGACGATGGGATGTGCTTGTTGGAGATGAATACCAGTGAAAATCAAACTAGCCTTACTTATGAAGAAAAGGAGGAAAACCAGCATATTACTCGGTCGACAGGAGGATGGCTTGATCAGAAGGTAGATTTATAAGAAGTCTATATGGACAGGGCAATATCTTAGTTTCCTTAGCTACTCCCCATTCCAAAATAAACGCGCTTTAGTTAGATGCTTATTCAAGAAGATAGATGACATCTGCATCAACGACACGAAGGAAGATGAAACCGAGTTGCTGACAAAAATACTGACACACAATGGCTACCCGTTGAAATTTATCAACAGGTGCAAGAGTTATGTAGCATTGAAAAGTATGCGGTTTACTCTTTCCTAAGGAAAATATCAACATCTCATTAGCATTTAAAGGTGATTTACACAGCTTTATTGTTAAAAAAAGGTTAGATCAGCCATCTGTAAAAAAGATTATGCAACCAAGGTCATCATTATAGCAAAGAAAAAGTCTATTTTACAATATAAACCAAAACAACACATAAACGACTGTATCATACCCTACTTTGTTTATCAGTTTATTCGTTTGGATGGACACAAATAGGGAGGAGTAATCGTGATATGTAGTTAAGAATGGTTGAAAATGTGCATAAGTACCTTCAAAAACAAATGGCCTCAACAGATCCGATCACTGCAGGTGACAAACGTCCATCTTCATCTATCGCCAAACACATACAAGAAACAAACCACAGGGTAGACATGAAAACAGCTTTTGAAATACTACTTAAAACTCTTGCCATTCAAACACCTCTTATGTAAACAAAAACAATTTGTACTCAGGTTGAACCTACCACTCTTATCAATAGGGATATAATCTAGACTTTGTTTTGTTCAAGCCTTCTTATTTTTAAATGAAGACAGGAGTAAAACAAGGCTGCTACCTACTATCACCCATGATATTCCTGATTGTGGTCGACTGGATCATGCAGCAAACTGTGAGGAGCGAGAAGAGGGGGTTGCGTTGGCTGGACCGCGGAAAAGACCCTAGAACACTTGGATTTCACCGACGACTTGTGTCTGATGTCACACAAACTTGAAGATCTACAGGCGAAAACTAACAAGTTGACAGAAGAGGCAGGGCAGCGAAGACGAAACTTCACGTGAATATAGAGAATACAGAGGTGATGGAGATACTCAATCAACACCACCACCAACATCAACACGCTCCAATCACCATCAACGCGAGAAACTTAAACGAAGTAGCCTCCTTCACCTATCTAGGAAGCAGGTGGCACAGACGAGGATGTCAAAGTCAGCCACGATCGCAAAGACAGCAAGACAGGCATTCATCAACCTGAAACCAGTGTGGAGATCTTCTGCACTGCACTCAGCATATGGAACAAGATCCGGATTTTCAACACCAATCCAGTCAAGTCAGTGCTTCTGTATGGTTCAGAGACTTGGCGCATTACGAAAGGGATTTCCAACAAACTTCAGACATACATCAACAGCCGCCGCCTACGCTCACTGGATACTGAAAGAAAGAAATAAGCAACAAGGAACGCTGGCTAGCTGGCAACGAACCAACCAAGGACCCATCACCCAAAAAATATGCAGAAGAAAGTGGAGATGGATTGGATTAGACATACACTGAGAAGACCATTTGGAGACATCACGCGTCCGGTGGAACCCAAATGGGAAACGACGGGTTGGACGCCCGAGGATGACATAGAGATCGTGTGGAGAAGAAATGAAAGCTTGTGGGCAGTCGTGGAGCCAGGTTGAAAAGACTGAAGAGAACAGAGTGAAATGGCGATGTACTTCTGAAGCCCTATGTTCCACTAGGAATTCAAGGGAAAAATAATCATAAAATTCTTATTCATATGTTTCCTATCGACTTAACCGACCTTTTTCATAAGTTTTCATATAAATAGTTCGATAAGTCCATATATGATCAGATTGTTCGAAATGCATAGCGCTAATACATCACACATGTTTCAAATAACCTTTGTTTTCTCAGTACGCTGTTTAAATTTATCAAAGGGACTATTTACTTTGACCGACTAATAGTGACAAGTAGCTGAAAAGTCTACTAGTTTTCTGGTGACACAGAAGTAGCACTAGCTCAATGATGAGTGCATTTATTTGTCAAGTTGTTATTCATCGTGGACTGACATCAGTTGAAGAAACACTGGAAACCTGGGAGCACTGGACAGCTGTTTCGTCCTAGTATATGACTCCTCAGCAGTGCGCACTCATCACCCCATTCTCCAGGGATCGAACTTAGGACCTTCAGGTTTCGTGACCAGCACGTTAGCATTGGGCCACTTGGTCAGAACCCAATTGTTCGTGACCGTCACCAGTGGCATCGTTGAATATTTGTTCTCACAGCCATCAGGTTTTCCCCACTCGTCACGACTTCTTATTGGAACTTCAAGAATCAACTTTTGAAGCTAGTCACTAATAAGCACTAAATCAATCGGATTTCGGGGGTTTGTGAGGATTTGGTGGTTTCAAGTAGGTATTCATCATGGACTGACATGAACTGGAGAAAGATTGGAAAGGTGAGAGCAATGTCAGCTTCATCTGATGAGTGATCTGTATGGGATAACTATTGTTAAGACCTATGCTCTAGGGGTAGTTTAACGATCTAATTTAATGCTATTTTCTACTCTATGAGTGAATTCCATCATATAATTATTCATTTTAAGTATCTTGTTCATATATATTAATTGCTTAACTCTTTTATTTTTATCTATTATTAGATTGTGTGCTCTCCTTAAAAGACTAGAGACAACAGAAACACTTATCCAATGCCCAAACTTATTCAAACCATCAAATCCCAACTTGATTTGGATATAGACAATAGTCATAATTTACTCAGCTTCATGGCTACTTTGAGTTTTATAGTCAATGGAATGAAATTAGCCCTGAAAATAGAATCAGTACTTAGTAGTGACTTATTGGCATATACGGGACAACACGAAAATAAGCTGAGTATTAACTTGGAACAACTAAGTTTCATTTCAGAACACTAAATTCAGGTCTATGACTTCGTTCAATGAAATCTGAAAATGCTTCTGTGAGGGAGAAAATAAGAAGAAAGTATTGATGAAACTTACTTGTTTCGATATTGTATAAGGATCTTTAATTTTTGACAATGTAAACGGTGCTGTTGAATATACACGTAGAGTATAATAAATTGTATTTGATTTTTCATATTGTGAAATAAGCAAAATGTAATTACATGTGCCGGGATCTTGAAGCATTTTCACTAAACAGTGTGGACTATTGATGCGTACAGAATCACGATAAGGTTCAGGATCATATGGATAATATATTTTACGGGATTTAACATCTTTGTACACAACAACTGCAATAAATTCCTTATTTTCAGCAAAATCCGCCTTTAAAAACAGAAAAAAGAGAACAAAAATAAACAAAATTATTCACTATTATCATTTTGACTATCTGAGATAGCCGTGGTTTGGCAGACTAGTATTTATACTGGGTGAAAACTTAAGGTGAGGTGAAAATTTAGACCACGGTTGGATTGAAATCGGCGACCACCGGGTTTCTGGCCTGATACCCTACCAACTGAGCTACGAGGTCCGACTGCTGACCAAATTTTTATTTCACTTCAAACTCCATGCGTTTTGCCCAACTACCATTTGAATATTCGTAATGCTGGTTACAACCTGGTCGTGGTCAAATTTACATCTCATCCTCAGTCACCAGCATAAATACTAGTATACCAAACCAAGCAAATCTCACTCAGATAGTCAAAATGATAATCAATATGATGCTCCTCCTCTCTAATTCAGTTAAATTTGGATTGGGATGAGAACTCTTGACTAGGCAGCCAGTGTGAATACGACCAAGCGATGACAGCAACATGTCACGAATTCACATGCCAGTCGGGCAAAACCCATGGTGATTGGAGTCAAATAAAAATCTAATCAGCAGTCGAACCACCTGCAGCCACAGAGCTACAGGTGAACACAAGCCCTCCAACGAAAGTTGAAGTCCTGAACGCCATAAGACTACTGAAATGCGGGGAGGCAGCAGGACCAGATAGAATCCCGCCAGAAGCACTGAGAGCAAACGCAGGGACAACAGCCGACATCCTCACACCACTGTTGCAGAAGGTATGGAAGGAAGAGAAGGTATCTGGCGATTGGAAGAAGGGCTACCTTGTCAAACTCCTGAAGAAGGACAACCGAAGTCTTTGCAAGAACCAGCGCGGAATCAGGCTCCTGTCCACCCAAAGCCAGCAAAATATTAAACCGAATCATCCTGGAGAGACTAAAGGATGCACTGGATCAAAACTACGACCGGAATAAGCTGGAATTAGGTGGTACAAATCATATGCACATAAAATTACAGGGCTACGCATCATCATAGAACGGAGTATAGAATGGCAGTCAACCCTTTACCTCAACTTCATCGACTTTGAAAAGGCCTTTGATAGCATCGATCGAGAAGTAATTTGGTAGGCAGCTGCCTCAACACTACAGTTTTAGTGCCAAAAACTTTTATGAACCTCATTCAACAACTAAATGCTATATGATGTTAAATTTCAAGTGATTCACAATGGGAAGCTCAGTGATGCCTTTGAAGTGAAGACAGGAGTAAAACAAGGCTGCTACCTACTATCACCCATGATATTCCTGATTGTGGTCGACTGGATCATGCAGCAAACTGTGAGGAGCGAGAAGAGGGGGTTGCGTTGGCTGGACCGCGGAAAAGACCCTAGAACACTTGGATTTCACCGACGACTTGTGTCTGATGTCACACAAACTTGAAGATCTACAGGCGAAAACTAACAAGTTGACAGAAGAGGCAGGGCAGCGAAGACGAAACTTCACGTGAATATAGAGAATACAGAGGTGATGGAGATACTCAATCAACACCACCACCAACATCAACACGCTCCAATCACCATCAACGCGAGAAACTTAAACGAAGTAGCCTCCTTCACCTATCTAGGAAGCAGGTGGCACAGACGAGGATGTCAAAGTCAGCCACGATCGCAAAGACAGCAAGACAGGCATTCATCAACCTGAAACCAGTGTGGAGATCTTCTGCACTGCACTCAGCATGTGGAACAAGATCCGGATTTTCAACACCAATCCAGTCAAGTCAGTGCTTCTGTATGGTTCAGAGACTTGGCGCATTACGAAAGGGATTTCCAACAAACTACAGACATTCATCAACAACTGCCCACGCTGTCTCGTTACTGAAGATCCGATGGTCAGAAGGAATAAGCAACAAGGAGCTCTGGGAACGAACCAACCAAGAACCTATCGCTCAACAAATATGCAGAAGGAAGTGGAGATGGATTGAGCATACACTGAGAATGCCGAGTGGGGACGTCACGCGTCAGGCCCCTCTAGTGGAACCCATATGGGAAACGACAAGTTGGGCGTCGGAGGTGAGGGTGACATGGAGGAGATGTTTAGAGGAAGAAATAAGAGCTTGTGGGCTATCGTGGAGCCACGTCCAAAAGTTTTCAGAGAAGAGAGTTCACTGGAGACGTGCTACTGAAGCCCTATGTTCCACTATGAATCCAAGGGACTAATAATAATAATAATAAAACATACTTGTTAACAAGAATGATGAAATTCAGGCTTAAGACAAACAAGCAGACATAATCAACGTAGAACGTCGCACACAAGTGGATCGGTTCAAGTTGTCACAGCACACAGTAAGTATATGAAGAAGAAGTGAACAGAACAAGACTGATATCAAAGTACACATAAAGGTGAATAGGGCAGGCGAAATTCAAAATCAAGGTTAGTCAGAATATTGAAACTTTAGAAGAAATCAAAAAGTGAATCAGTTAGTGTGTGCAATAAGATTGCTAGGATCTTTCTACGAAGCCCTATTTTCCGAAACCCTTTTACAACCAATCGTTTTCATCGAAGTTTTGAGAGAAAGCACGTGAACCAACGCGTAAAGAACATATTGGTTGAAGAGGCGAAAATCAATAGGACATGCGATTATAAAAACGCCTAAAAATAGTCAAGGCTATCGTAAACATATGTAAATTGCTGCATGTTGTATATTATTGACGTTGCAACATACCTTTTATTATCTCACCACCATTTCCATTTGTCGAGGATCTGAACCACCATTAAAGCTCAGAATCTGAAGGTTATTGTTCAAGTGTCCGCACTAATATACATTATTCAGGTCGCATTAGGTGACTACAAGGATATAACAGAATATACTTGCGCGATTGTGACCGATTTTCAGTCATGTCAGCAAGTCTTCAATCACTGGTCCTTGTGATCTCAGTGACCCCAGTCACGTAGTCTACACCTCGCTATATAGCTCAGATCAACAATCGGGCATTGATGACATGTTTTAGTCTGGTGACCCTTAGCTTTGTACAACCTAATCTAACTTACCCTGATACAATACAGCACGTCGAGGTACGCGGTGATTCGGCATGTGCAACACATGTCCAAGCCATACTAGTCGAATAAGGTTCATCTATGATCAGAACCCTGCAACAGCGTCATGTCTTCTACTTTCAACTACCATGTTTAACAGCCGTATAACAGGAGAGAACGAATTGTAACGCGGTATACTCGTCCTTAGATGTGTAGTAGGATATCTGACCAGTCGGTGAGGCAGATGATACAGATTGGTAAATGTCAAACGGGCCTTCTGTATTCGAGCTGGGATTTCGTCAGCAACCAACCCGTTCGGACTGAGGTAAATCCCTAAGTAAGTGAAGTGGTTGACGCATTTGACCACTTAACTTCCTATCATTAGACTGGGAGTAGCTGGAGATCAGTCCTGGAGCATCATCTTACATTTGACAGATGTGAAACATACGTAAAACATACTCCGATTTCTTTTCAAGGTGCTCAGAAGACAGTGGATTTTGTCAGCGTCTTCACCTAGCAGGACAATAGTTTGGCTAATACTGATAATGGTCTCAAACTATCTGATTCTTACTACCGTTGAAAGAATATGAAGATATTATTATCACCGGTTCGCTTTTCGCAGTCAATAATTTTCAGTAAATTAGTCAAAACTAAATGTTGCAGGAAGATTCAATGAAATCGCAGCTGAACAGAATGATAGCACCCAAAAAAATAACTCCATGTGGTTTGTGTCAAACTACTATAGTGGTAAACACTTAAGGTCTGATTAAAGTCACAGATGATGAATAAAAAGGAGATACAGCGATATTGAAATGGTTTTCAAGAAAAAGTTTCAATATTGAATATGAGGAAGATATAGAAAGGTTAGATGGGAGTTTCATAATCTTAACCATATCAGTCTAGATAATAAAAAATAGTAAGCTCAGCAACCATCTAATGTACGTTTGTTTGGAAAAAAAGTTAGAAAACAAACAATATCGACACAATGCAACCATTAGACCATTAATCTATCTTTACCAGCTTCAAAATATGTGCATATAGGCACCCATGGTCTAAGCAAGAAACTTTGTCAAAAATACACTCATCATTTGAAGAAAAAAACCATAGGCTGAAAATTATGATCCCTTCTCAAGTATCTTTACTGATGATCGGCTTTTTAGAACCACTCAATGTCTGAGATTGATCCCATAATAAATAAGTTCATAACCTGTAAAACTAGGATAAAAAAAATTCTCCGACCAATCGAATGCCTCAAGTGTCTATTACTTTCAGTAGACATGGTTTTCGTAAATGAAAATGCAAAAAGAACAAGTGAAAAACGGACTGATAAACAAACAACTGAACTGTAGCAAAACTGAATGCAATAATCGATACAATTATGGCACTGATAGCCTGGTTCATAGTCATATTATTCGTTAACTCTAGGGGATTTATCTCTAGTTATTACGAAAATTCAAAGTTAACTCAATCGTCTCACATCTCATCACTGGGATAAGTTGAAAGTTAACAATACAGACTAATGAAACAAACCTCTATTACATATTAATGATGGATAATGACTAGCAGTGGAATCCAAGACGCGCGTTTCGTCCTATTTGGGACTCGTCAGGTGGATGTGCCTGCCTCCCAGTGAGCGATGTTATTTCCACTAGGACTCGAACTTGAGACGCTAAATCTCTATTACAATGCGTGAAGACATTATTGGTGTAGATAACTGCCTTAGTAACGAAACACCACTAAATATGATTTGTAACATCTTTTCAATGCGCTAAGGAAACGATTGCACAGCAATTTTTGTTCTTTGCATCAAAAATCAACGCTTTCAAACAACAACTGTAGAAAACTCAAGACGTGCATTTCATCCTATTTAGTAATCGTCAGCCGGATGTAACTGGACTCTTCAGGTGAGTGGCAATGTTCCCACTAAGACACGAACCCAGAATCCATCGCTTCAGACATCAAGGCGTTACCCACAAGGCCACTGAGGTATGAGAGCCACCTCTTATCCAACAAGTATCAGTTATTATTATTATTCACTGTTATTTTATTGATACCACCAAGTAAATTAAAACATAAAGGATAATCAAGCAATATCGAGGCATTCACATAGGATGTCGATCGATTGGATCCAGAATAACAACGGGAGATTACAAGTACCAATAAATAATAATTGTAGAAACGAGACTGAATTATTTATTATAGGAGAAAAAGGTTTTTTCCTGCCTTAAAACTGAACTTACTTTATCTACAATATGCCTCGTCAGAAGTATCCAAATAGGCGATTCAACATGAGCAGATACTTCAAGATTGTACTGTGGATTGTCGGCACTCGCATAAGAATCCTTTTTGGGTCCAGATCCAGCAAGCCAACAACTAAGTTAAACGAATATAAAAAGCAAAGATTGTAATACCTTAATAATGTAACATTTAGCAATAGTCATAAATTAATTAAAAAAACAAAGCAAACACACATCAAGTAACACAGGGTTTATTTAGCCAATGAGTCATGTATATGCACTCAAATTGAAAAGAATACCCTAAGCTATACAGTAATTAACTAGCTCCAAATTGAATGGAGAATGGACAACGATAGCAATGGAATAACATTATTCCATTTTGTTTCGTTGCTGTCTCATCGGCCGCTTACAACATGAAATACATAAATACTACGTGAAATAGTAATTGGAACATGCCTTCTGCGGATAATTTAAGGTAATCGAAAGGAAGTGACATTATGTTTTAAGGAGTATAGGCATCCGGATAAGGTAACAACGGTATGCTAAAAGGATCAGTCGTAAACTCTATTTATAAGCGTTCACGAAAACTGGTACGCATTATAAACAAAACTTTGATCAGTGCAGTCACCCAGTATCTTACCGAAGTAGAACATGAGGCAGATACGTTGAAATCCTTTAAAGTAATAAATAAAACACAGTAATTTGAGTCTTTTGAAGTTTCCCGAGGCTATAGACATTAACATTTGAAGCCAGAATCAGGCATTCAAAAACAAGTAGCCATCACTTTCCTTTTAACTGAGGCTTTTTCTATTCGCATAGAATTTTAGTGGTCGTTTTTACCAAGTTTAACTCACTATATTACTACATAACTTGTTTTTTGTTTTACTCGTCATCAACTAATCTGTCGATGAATCTCATTACATAATCTTTAATTCTGAATAACAAAGCATTTTTTACCATCTACACACGTTTTCTTGAACTGTCTGTTGAAAAACAGAAAATCTTCGCACACAAGTGCGCCAGTATAAGTTGCCACACTTCACAGTAGTCTACAAAGAAAATGTGGTTAGAAAATATTGATATCATTGGTTTACGGGGAAGAAAGAATTTGAAAATTAAGGTTAGTGAAAATGTTCAATAAATCTGTGCCATTGTGATCAACTTTCAGCCATGTCACCCAAAACCCTTAACCACTGACTTCTATTGTCTCTGGGACTCCAGCCAAGCAGTCTACACCTCCACACACAGTCCAGATCTAAAATCAGAGGCTCTATGGACTAGTGCCACGTCCTAATATGGGTATTGTGAACCTTCTTCTGACCTGATCCAACTTCTAATACCAGTGAATGTCGAGGTAGGTAGTGATGTAGTGGGCGTTGCTGATAACAACGTATATAAGCAGTATATATCGAGACGGTGGCAGGAATCATAGGGAATTACCGGCAATGGGTAAGGTTTCTGCCAAAAGAAACGCAGGGGACAACACAGGCGTATTACGGGGGATGCTGTTGATAAGAGTGTATGAATAGCAGGTCAAGAGCAAACCAAGACAGGAACGGAGGAGGAAACGAAGACATTTGCAAATGGCTGCGTTAGTGCAAGGAGTACCATATGTAACCACTACCATTCCAATCGTTTGTAATAAACATTCTCTCGTCGAGTTGTCTTCTGTTCTTCAGTGGGTCGGCATGCGCAGGACATGCCCAGATCACCTCAATCGATGAAGGTTGAACAAGATATATGACTGAAACTTCTCAACATGACTTGTTAACCTTATCCAGATGCTTATATTTTTGAATACACTATGTCACCTCCTGCTGAATAACTTCACTGACTTGCATAAAGTATGTTCAGATTCTTTTGTTATATGATATATGTATCATGTTTTAAACGGCTGATAAAAAACTAAGGAAACAAAATGGATTTATGCTTCTCTCCCCCAATAGTATTTTTTTCCCTATTCTGGTTTTAAGTTGACGACTACTGAGATTTAAATTCTGCATAAAAACAAGCCATTACACATAGTAATCAATGAAGATTTCAGTCTTTCAATGAAACTACAGCTTTCATGTGCCCTATCTGCATAGTGGAATGCATGGAAAACACTTGTCACTTCTTGACGATTCGATTTGATAACTTTTTATAACAACATGAATCGGGATTAGCAAAATCAAGATGAAGTAAGAGGGAAATCCCAAATAAAATCAACATTCCCAGTCCTGGTTGCGAAATCCCCCATTTTTATCAAGAGGAAGGTCATACACACAAAGAAATTAGATATAGTGTTGATGAATGGGAAACATCCTGTCATAATTCTTAGAGGTAACACAAAAAGATAAAGAGCTTATTTTCAACTGAGCAACAAACAAACACAGTTCATGAGTGTTACATATTTTAAACCTAATCAAACTACATATGGTTGAGTGTATATTATGAATAATCTAGCACAATAGGGCATATAGTCAACCCGCTACAAATCTAAACTTGAAGAATTTTATTTTCCGATACAAACTTAAAACACATAACGAAAGTATACAGAGTAGGACTGAAAAAATTCATAAGATTTCGGTAGGACTCCTCAGCTAAATATACTTTACAAACTTGATTATGTATATTATGATGTAATGTATGGATAAGTATACATGTGCATTTCAAACTGGGACAACAAACGATTACCGACGTAAAATAAATAAATAAATCCCTACAAACCTTCAAATTGAATAATTCTAGTGCTCACTGGTGACTTGTTTCAAGTGTGATTCCTGAATTTTCGATGATAAGTCGTGACCGGCGGAGCCAACTAATCGATATGAGAACAGATACTCAACGACCGTATTGGATGGGAGTCGCGCTATATCGTGAACTGAAAGAAGTTGGAAATATGGACCAATGGATTTCGACCTAGTGACTCAATGATAATATACTGGCCACGGAACCTGAATGTCTTCCGTTCGACCCAAAGAAAGGTTATAGAGTCGGACTACTGAAGAGTCCCACAGCAGGACAAAACTGCTGTCCAATGCTCCCACGTATTCAATAGTTCTTCGACTGATATCAGTCCATGATGAATATCAACTTAAAATCAATAAATAAATCCTTACAAGCCTTGAAATTGAATACGCTCATACAATTATCTATCAGACCATTTTGTGTCAACAGTGAATGTAGAATGTATTCAGTCACGCAAAAAACGTGGCAATCAGATGAAATAACGATTACCACAGAAGACCTAAGGTAAGCACAAACTGTTTTTTTATAACTATTTTATAACTGAGAATTCGATAAACTTAGGTATAAGATCCTGAAAACCCTTGTAGACTGGTCTAAATAAATGTGGAAACAAGTGAGCTTATATTGATTCGGCGATTCCTGCAAACGATCTAAAAGAGATGCAGAATTCATAAGGAACAAAATCAGAAACATAATTTTGTGTAAGAATAAAGTGACTGTGTACAATGGGGAAGATAGAAAGAACATAAAAAAAACTATTGAAGAATGCTAGGGACCACTTAGGCTGGTCTGTAGATTTCGTCAGCCAGATCAGAGTGATCTAAACACCAGAGGGCTATTTCGCTCGTTTGGCCGGAATTGTTTAGCGGTGTACCCAGACAAATTCAGCTCACAGAGCCCAATCGGTGTCTAAAGTTATTCAGTAGCAGTATATTTCACTAGTTCATGACACTTATGTGTCGAAGATCACACTGTGATCTCAGCTGAATGGTTTCCAACGGAAACCCTGTTGACATCAAAGTTGGGCAGCTGAAAAATTACTCAGCTGTAAGAATGTCAACGTGAACCGTACAATCTGTAAATCATTTGTAAATCGATTATCCAATTCGACTGAAGAATGTTAGACATAAGAATGATAAAGTCTGTTTACTTATTCATAAATAGCTGGAAAGAAGATTCTGCAGTGTTATCAGAGGGTGGAAGAAATAATGGTACAAAGAAAGAATTACTTTAGTAGCAACAGATTTGTCATATACGCAAACAAACAAATGTAATATTACATATGATACACAGAACAGATAAGGTAACATGAAACAAGAGATGTAGTAGTTCAGACAAGCATGTAGTTATCTAGATAATACTGTACTAATTGCTATCTCTTTCTAAACACAAAGGTCAGGTTTAAAGTAATAGTTGCCATCGATTGTGGTAAGGGTAGTAACAAGTAAGATTTTTGTTGATTTATTACTATTTGGACTGTAGACATATCTACACTATGTTCTAAAATCAACTAAAAGATGTGTGATTGAATTTGTGAGCAAATGAGTGCAATGCAATCTTAGACTCTGTGGAATGAGTTCAAAGAAAGAAACAAAAATCAATTATTTTGTGTCCTTGATATTTTGCTTTCAAAACCATATATGAATTCATAAATATGGTTGACGGTGAAATTGAATGGGTACTTGTCTGTTTTTGATTGTAATACAGAGGGCCAGTCACGAAACTTGTTCTTCTATATACCCTTAACTTGGTAACTGTTGGAAGACTAGGGTTAGGGTCACGGTATTGTTTTTTCAATTATCGTAAAGTTGACTGCTCAATATTTTCATATCATAACTGAATGACGTCTTCACTTTAAAATCATACCATTCGATCCCCTCTACATTTTAATAAAAATTCCAGTGTAACCATATTTCTGGCCCTGTGGCCATTCTTCACATAAGGAGATCCATAATTAAGTCAACAAAAAGACAGCTGAGGAAATGAGAAATAATATTAGGAGTTGTAAAGTATTCCATAAGGCAAAGATCAAACAGAAAGCACATATGTATTAATAATAAGTTCAAAGTTTAAGTAAAGGAAGATAAGATATGAAGATGATAGTGCAAGTGTGATCAATTCTGACCCACATCTCAAATAGTCAAAAATAGTATATGTATATATATTCATAAACTTCAGTATTATTCATCAGCTGGATACTCTGCATACTTGATTGTATATAGACACCGATCCAATACAAAGTGAATGGAGTCAGAATGCTGTTCAATAGAACCAGGAAAATTTGCTCCTACAGTACACTAGATGACGAAATGAGGACTTTGAAAAATGTGCTAGTCAAGAATGGGTACCCAGAAAGCCTTATCAACAAACACACAAAGTGAGTAAGGAAGCAGAGCAACGTCCCCAACAGTGCACAAGAAACCAGTCCATATCACCTGGCCATTCAAAGATGACATGCTAAAAGTAGCTAGATGAATACTGAAGAAATCTATCAAAAGGACTTATTACGCTGTTAAACTCGTTCTCCTCAGAATGACCAAAAAAGTACTGCAAAAATCAGGGAAAACCAGGGCTCCGATCCTTGATATATCTGAATGCATACATCAATTCGAATTTACTTGTGGAAGCAAATACATTGGTCGTATGGAGAGGCACAAGTCTATCCGAATGGTTGAACACCTACAAAAATGGTTGAAGCATGCCGAAAAGAAGACTCCGGAGACCTCGATAACAAAACACTCAATGGATTATAGGCAGGATATTGATGTCTGTAAGTCCTTTACGGCGATCAGTAGACAGAGAATAAGAAATTGCTTGGAATTGTAGAAGCCTGCGTAATCCAACCGATTCAATTTTGAGCACCCATTTTTACCGTTTGCGTTATCATTTGACCTGCAAAAGCTGTTCATTTCTATGTTATCACACCTTAATCCAAGTCTCACACTCCAGTATGTATGTATGTATGTATGTATGTATGTATGTATGTATGTATGTATGTATGTATGTATGTATGTATGTATGTATGTATGTATGTATGTATGTATGTATGTATGTATGTATGTATGTATGTATGTATGTATGTATGTATGTATGTATGTATGTATGTATGTATGTATGTATGTATGTATGTATGTATGTATGTATGTATGTATGTATGTATGTATGTATGTATGTATGTATGTATGTATGTATGTATGTATGTATGTATGTATGTATGTATGTATATATTATCCGCATTGTTTAACGGTATACATAATCAAGTGCGTAGAGCAGAATCCAACAAATCCTTCTTTTTCTACATTTTTTACTTGTTTTTAAATGCGTCGTCATCAACAAGGACCAGGTATTATGTAACGCAACGTAGCATAATGGTCCAAGTTGCCACACTTCATATCAGTGCATCAAGCAAAAAGTCAGTGAGGCGCAAGATAAAGATAAGACAATTCAGTCAAAAGAAAGATAAAGTACTAAAAGAGAGAAATGAAGAATGAGAAAATGGTGAGATTCAATGTAGCGTTAAAATGATAATAATGTATGTATACATCTGCGCCACTGACATCGGTTCTGAGCCATATCACTTAGAGTCTCCAGCCATTGGTTCCTCTTGTCTTAGTAGTCTGCATCACCTCACATCGCTCAAACCAACAGTCAGAGACTTCATACATTGATGCCATGTTTTAGTCTGGCCGCCTTAGGCCTTTTTCCAGCCTGGACCTACTTCGGTCAACATTGTGTGACGAGGCAATCGGTGACTAGGCATACGTAACACGTGTCCCAACCATCTTAGTCGATGGAGGTTCATAACCTCGTCAACTGATTTACCTTTACTCCCTAAAACTCTACACCTGACGTCTGCGATGCTCACGTGATGGCACCACGGAATACGGTGGTGAAACATCTGAAGCCAACCTTCTCATGTCTTCCACCTTCAATGGCCATGTTTCACAGCCATATAGTAGAACGGACCTGACTGCTGTGCAGTACACGTGACCCTTAATAGACAATCCGATATCACGGCGGCGCCATAGGTGGCTTAAGTTGGCAAAAGCCAGCAGAGTATTTTGTATCCGCGCAGAGATTTCATCGGCAACTAACCCACCGGGGTTGATCCTACTTCCCAGGTAACTGAAGTAGTCGACACACTCAATGACTACGCTCTCTATTGTTAGCCCCGGTGGGGCACCGTTGAAGAATAATCCTGGAGCAACAATTTGCATTTGGATGGTAAGAAACGCAATCCAAACATTCTCAAATTGCCATTCAAAGTGTTCAGAAGACTCTGCATCTTGTCAGCGTCTTCACCTAACAGGACTATGTCATCTGTTTATTCTAGGTCTAATGAAAATTCTCTTGCTATTAGGTCAACGTCTGTGTAATCAGGTGATGAGAGGGAGACCTCTATGAGAATATCTATGATAAAAGTGAATAAGAATGGAGAGAGTGGGCAGCCTTGACGGACACCACTCGATGAGCATAGCTCAGCCTTTGTCAGAGTAACAGTCAAAGATTTCATGGATTGATAGCATCTCCATCCAGCCGACATTAACTATTTTTGTAACCCAATTCCATTTCAGGTGAAATAGTGTCAGACTAGAAGGTTGAATCGGTGTGTGCAACTGATGTCTCAGTTACTTCAGTCAAGGGAAGTTTATAACTGATTTACTCTTTTGACCACAACGTTACTACCGATGAGATAAATCGTAACAAAGTTCCAACACACACACACACACACACACACACACACACACACACACACACACACACACACAACTTACTCATTAACACATGTAGTGTGCTGGAACAATTCTGGATCCCAATTAATATAAAAGACATCGAAGAAATGACATAATGAATCATAGTCTATCCAAAATACGCCATTATCAATTAACTGGGCAGATGATCTATCAAAATTCAGCTTAACTTCCATACTTGGAGTCCAGTGTTGTGAATCACGTTCTGAAAAGTTACCCTTCCAACGCATATGACTCCACGGATTTTTTAATAAAAATAAACGATAACCCTAAATAAAGTTAAATTTTTTTTTAAAGAGAAGAGAACAACAATAAAAATATACATATGTACATATACAGATGGAAACTTGCCACTTCAACTAACCGACCACATGATTTTTGAGGAGAAAAAGGTATTCAAAACATATGCTTGAGAAAAAATCACATGTTCAATAACCTACGATCCTAGTTTATAGTTTTAAAAGCTTAAGTATTATTAATAGACTTTCATTTTTCACTCTTCTTGATTTAGATAGTTCCCTAATATAGTAAATTATTATTAGAAAATGACGATTACATAAATATGAGATTTTGATTAATGATAGGTTTTTGAAAAACATATGTTTGGATGCTGTATTACCTGTGAATCATCAAGAGATACATCAACTCTTCTTGAATTGACTCCACGTAGTTGAAATTAACAAACAAGTGGTAAGTGATTTCCTGAGAGGGCAGAATCAAAAGGACTAGCACTACTGTCTTTATACAATGATAATATTTTACTGAATATGTATGAAGAGGTGTGGCTTACTGGTCTAAGCAGTTAGACAGTTAGCCATCACACAATAAATCTGGATCATTTTCTAATATAAGAACGTGCGTGTGGTAGCTGAGTGCATTTCGATGCAGAGGCATCGAAGACATTTAATAACTGAGCAGTAGCAAAATATCCGAAAACAAAGTGTAAAGAAAACCATGAATAACTAATACTGATTTCCTCAGTATAAGGATTCGTCTTATAGTTCTTCAACGAACACAATACCACTAGCCTCTCAAGTTGAACAGTTTCTCTAAATACAACCGTACAGACAAAAATCTACACCACTGTTACTAGGTTCTGTCTGCTTCATACGTATGATTGCTTAAAATAATAAACTAAAACAATGTGGTCGGAGATTTGGAGCTTTTAAACCACTTCTGAAAGTGATTTTAACGTTATTTTCTCTTCAGTGAAAGCACTGAAACAGTTCAGCATAATGATAGCCTAGGTGGATAATTAAACACGCATCCAGTCTCTTTAAAACCAACCAATCTTAATTTCTAACTTAAGGGGCCTAAACTTTAATTTCTAAAGGATAGAAATGCAAAACAGAAAAAAATTAGACAAACCTACATCTACTTCACGTATATCCAGCATCGCATAGGCATGAGTTGGAACCAAACCAGAACGTTCACTATCATCATCAGATAACTGACCAGTGGCAACAGTAACTAGACAATGACCTTGATGGAAACGACTCAGAAGACGGCGAAATTCTTTGTTTTTATCAAAATAAGATGAACTAGATCGAATAGAAATACGTTCAGGGATCCAACCAGTCAGAGCATGTAAATCAATATTCTATATAATAAAAGGCAAACAATTAAACTTCTATGTAAATATAAGCAGTCAATAAAATGTTAGCCTGAATATACTATTACTCACTTCCAAATGATTTAGGTATCTAGTAATAATAATAATAATAATAATAATAATAATAATAATAATAATAATAATAATAAAACATTTGCTTCGTTCCGCACCATAATTATGTCTGCAGTACAGAATTTTCAGCATGTGATATCACATCAATTTACCCATTTTACATTTTTAAAACAGTAATAGAGCTGTTTAACAATATATAATAAAGAGTAAGGAATGATAGGATTATTGAAATAATTAATGACTTCAGGAACACGATAACCATTCGCTATTACACAGTTGATTGATAAGACTATGTCTAACAAGATTTTCTTTACACAATATACACAAGCTAAATAAGGTATGGTTGAATTTTTGTATGTAGTTGTGCGTGCACAGAGTCTAATATATTTGCTTCTTGTCTTCTCATACGACAGACATGCAGAGATTGCTTGTCATCAGATAATATATTTCTAGCCAGTGGTCTACAAGAGTTCAGATGCCTATCCAGGACTGCATTTACCAGCTCGGTTAGGAGTATGCTACTTGCTCTACTAACAGCCTTCAAAATCCTACGCAATACAACGTAGTCCTTTCTCCAGAGTACAGAAAAAAATAAGGGGGAATAATAAGCAAGTATAGGTAAAACGAGGAGTAGAAGCTGAGTTATACTAGACAGTCTGAGTTTCTTAATATAAAAGGTCAAGCGAAGGATTTTCTTAGAAATCAGTAAGATATGAGCGGACCAAGAAAGATCAGAAGAAAGGCATAAGCCAAGATGGACCACCCTTACTACATTCTCTATAATAGAGCCATCTATAAGATAAGAGATATGGGATTGAAGTAGTGTGCAAAGATCTTTTTCATGTCTTAAGCTAAAACTAACCATCTGACATTTGGAAAGATTGAGTGTGAGGCCACTTAAGGAAGACCAGTAACCAATTTCCTTTAAGAAGTTGTTAAACTGACAACAATCAGAAGAAAAGATGATTGGCATGGATACTGTCAGGTTATCAACATACGTGACAAAGCTTTAGTTGAGGTTGGTAAGTCATGTAAAAGGAAAGGAAAAAGAACAGCACCTTGAGGCACACTGGCTTTACTAAGCCCTGAAGTAGAGCGTTTCCCTCTATGTAGAGTGTACTGTCTTCTCTCAGAAAAATATGAATCAAGCCAATTTACAGTCCAGGACTCAATGTAAGTACTGGCAAGCTTGTTTAATAAGATGGGGTCTAGGGATAGAGTCAAAGGCAGAAGTATAACCCAAAAAGGCAGATCTAACATATTTTTCCAGACTGGCAATAATATGATGTAAAACAACTGCAGCGTGTAAGGTACTTCTTCTGGCTTTGTAGGAAAATTGATTTGGATCCCTGAAAGCCTGCAAAGGAGGTTCAAGCGCACGAAGCAACAGTTTTTCCATTATTTCTAGGAATGGTGAGGTAATTACGACCGGTCGGAATTTCACTTTAGCTCCAGCAGATGTGGACTTAGGTACCGGAACTATTTTAATTTCTTTCCAGGCGGTTGGTGCGTCGTTTCTAGAAAAAGACTCATTAAAAAAGTTTGTGAGTGGATGGTATAGAATATCAGCACATTTCGTGAAAAGAATACCTGGCATGCTATCTGATCCGCGGCGTTGCGAAGATTTTAATGATTTCAGGCATTTGAACACCTCCGTTTCATTGAATTTCGTAAAATTGCATTCTGTTATACGTGAAGAACTAGATAAGATAGCATTCGCGGGTTTATGTATGAATGACCCGTTTAATGTACACACGTTGTCGCAGGTTTCATTTCTGAGTGTTCTCTTTCTAGTAAGATCATTAGAAAGTCTCCATATACTAGAAGGGTTTTTACATGATGTAATCTTCTGGTTATACATCAAGTTCAAGCAATTTATTTCAGATTTAATTAGGCAGTTAGGTCATTTAACACTAGCATTTTCCTTCGATTTGTACAGTTTTTCTTTTTCTCTTTGCAGCTTTTTTAAATGCGGAGAAGAAAGTCTATTAAACCTTAGGTAAATTATTTCAGCTGGGTAGCAAATACCAAAGCGAAATGTAATATAGCATGGAACAGCACCGATTGTATCATCCAGAGCATCATTTTCAAATATTTCCCAATGTGTTCTGTAACAGGCACCTGAGTTCATGGATATTGTCATATGTAAAACTCCTATGTATAGTCTTTTTAGATTGATATTTAAAAGTATTTCTATCCATTTTGCCATACATTTTGGGCAGTGGTGCACGCTTCCGCGTTTCATATATTCCAGGTTCATTCACGAAGACCAAGTCTAATGAGGGATTAAAACGAGTTGGAAAATTGACTAGGTTACTGTGACCAAGAGAATACAGGAGGCCGTAATTACAAGAGTGAAAATCCACATAGATAATAGACAATGAACCAGAATATTATCGGAGCAGAAAACTCCGTGAATTCGTCAGCGAATCTGGATAATTCAGAATAGCTGCAACGGGGGGTGACGTAAACACTTGTGATGTAAATGAATTCATATTTATCTAAGTGTTTCGGACGACACTTTAACAGTCATATAGTCTGTATAGTTGTTAGAATAGGAGAAACATACATACAATATTAATAAAGGTAGCTACACCTCCGCCACACTTTTTCGTTCAACTACACCGATCCTGGCGAAACAACTAGAAGACATTTAAAGAAACTAGACTGTCATCATATAAGTTATGTAACAAAGTTTCTTGTAATGTTATTAAACAAGCATTACGATAAACATCAGAACATAGAAGGCACTGCAAATAGTCTACCTTACCTAGTAAGGATCAGCAGTTCGAGTTGAGTATTTCAGGGAGTGTTATTTGATGTGGTTTGGTTTGCTTTAAAGCGCGCTACTATGCACCATGATGTCTTTTCTAAGTTACATTTGTTAAATTCATAGCGGTAGGTTGATAACCTTTTAAAAGTTCATGTAAATACTTGATCCGATTCAAGATCATATTTGAACAGATTAAAACAAGAACAGAGTAAACTTGATGTAATATATAGGATGGAAAGATATAGTAGCCCAAGGTTTAAGCAGGCCGCCAGCTAATATAACTTGACCATGGTGTTGTGTCTTGCCAATAAACAAACAGCAATGGACTCTACTAAGATCAAATATAGCATACCATGGTATCGTACAACTTAGTTTGATGGATACATTTTAAGTTTGTTCGACAGGTTATAATAAGCATTAAAGATTTTGACAGTAACATGAGTTATCATTCAATGATTGAATGCGAGTTGGTCTTCCTCTATACACCGTGTTAATACTGGTTTCTAACAATAATATAATTCAAATCCAAGAGATAAATAAAGGAGGAAGTCATTAAAACCTGTCAATATTTTAGTCAGTTTTAGAAAATCATTTAGGCATGTTTTTAGGGTTGTATTGATCACGGGGTAATATCAGCTGGAGAACTGTTGAAAACCTGGGAGCACTGGATTGCTTTTTCGTTGTAGTACGGGACTCCTCAGAAATACACATCAACGACCTCGCCAGGAGTTAAACTCAATACCTTCAGGTTTCACGGTGAACGGGGCTAATCAGTGAGCCACTTGGTCGGAGTTCAGTATTCCCTGTTCCCTACTTCTGTTATTCGCAATATAGCGTGACTATCCTCCAAGATTATCAGGGCGTACCACTGAAAAGTAGCATACTGGGACAAAGCAGTTGTCCATTGTTTCTAAGTTTTTAATGGTTCTCTATCTGATATCAGTCCCTGATGAATATAACCTTAAAAAATCACCTTAAACCTCAAACTAAATTTCAGTGTATATCAAATGTCGTGTATCTCCCACAATCTTGCTGAGAAATTTCAATTGTCACATATGATGCATAATTTCTGTCGGCTGAAGCTTCCTAGATACCTCAGTTTTTATGCGGATCGGTATTAAGAAAGCGTGAAAATACAAGATATTAATAGTTGAGATGGTTGATGAAGCCAACCAAAGCGACAAAGCATTTCGAAAGGTGTGTCTCAAAGTTATTCGTAGGAAAGGCATCTGTTGGTAAATGATCCTAATGAGTTCAGATTTATATTCAAATATAGTGTATAACTTAGGCATATCAGTATACGGCATGCTAATAAAAATACAGATTTACCTCACAAACAAAAATAGCTGTTTAAGTGATCGCTGTTATGGAATAACATTAGGAAATTATTGTCTTTGATGTTATGGCTTGTAAATCTGCATCGCTGATTAGACCGAATCGGTCGACCACTATTGGCATATGAGTTTTTGTGCAGATACCTCGATAGTGACACTACTTTCAAATCTGATAACAATAATGATGGGTACTGTCTAGCAGGAGAATACTGGACGACCTCATCATAGTGTTTGGGACTCGCTCACCAGATGTACCTGCACCTCAGAGAGGGGCAATGTTCCCACTGACACTCGAACAAAGCACCTATGACTTTAAACACCAGTACGTTATATACTAACCTACTGGGGCATGAGAGCCACCTCTTATCCAACAGGCATCAGTTATCATTCACTGACACTTTATTGATACCACCAAGAAAAATAAGAGCAAAATCAATAATCAGTTACTACTGATTGGCGAGTTCTAAATACGACGAAACGTGCGTCCTTAAATCCAATGCTAGCCACTATCCATGATTAATTACGAAATTATTTATTTTTGAAACTTCTATTTACTTTCTTCTTCTTCTTCTTCACGATTAGTTAAAACTGATTAGATGTTTGGCTAAAACGTTTGTTACATGTACACAGTAAATAATGGATAACAGCTACGAGTTTAAACGAATTGGAAAAGATGGAAGGTAACTCAACAACCATATGCATGTGGACGCGCCAGACAACGATTCACACCCACTGCCTGAGGGTCTACAATTACTAACTACTGGCTAAATCTTGATTGATGAGATTCGACTCAAAATTGTGACCCACTGACCGAAAGTCAACGACCACTAACACAGATGAGGACAAAGATCCATATCATGGATTTAAAGCTGATAGTGAACAGTTTTCACTATCAATTAAAAGCATATCCTAGGAATAATAATAATAAATAAAGCCTTAATAAGTCTTAGCAACCAACCGTAAAGATATGTGTGCTGTAGTAATAATCAGAGTAATGGTGAATGATGAAGGGTAATATATAATGCGAAATATTTAAATCCATTTTACCGAATTTGATCCAGGAAAGTCGTATCCACCCATCACTTTCATATAAGCTTTCTCCAATAAGGATACCCATAATTCGTTGTGGTTATTAGAAAAACAGCACAATAGTTTTCCATCCTTTCCCATTGGCAGTAAATCGTCCACAATTACCTATATTAATAAAATATTTATCATAAATAAGAATCAGTTGAAGAGAAACAAATTTCTAGTAGATATGTCTCTTAACTTTACGTTCTTTGAAAAACAATGCTTTCAATAAAACTCTAGATTTCATCTTCAATGAGATTTGTACTACATCCAAGCATTCAAAGCTGTCTAAATCAATAGTAACTCACAAAAAAACATTTATAAAAAAAGCATTCACATTTTTAGCTAAAACTATCATCCTCTACTAAAAGGCAAATGAAGTTTAACAGTGAAGAGAAGTGAATGAGTATGGAGGTAAGTATCAGTTACTGAGACAAGAGTAAAACGAACTGTCGGTGAAATGCAAACAACCGAAAATTTCTGCAGTGAGCTAACTATTGAAAGACAACGATAGAACAGACAGAACATCGTTACACGTCTAATAAATACTACTGAACTGTGCATACGTTCAGAGATGGAACGAGGTTTGAACTTTTCTTCAATACAGCGACCTGTTTGAACCTACGACTACCAAACGTTTTCAACGAACATAAATATATCAGGTGTTTTCCTTTCAATTTCCTTTAATCATTTAGTAATAATGATAGTAATAATAATAACAATGGCTTTATTTTGAAAGCTACTTCAGGAATAATCTGCAGAATTTTCAGCACGTCGTATAGCATCGGTTGGGTAGAGACAGTGTATATGTATACATAGAAAAATGAAATAAGCAGAAATTACATGAAGAAACAATAAAAACATTCGCCCCGTCTACAACTTTCTTCAAAATGCACAATCAGTTTGAGTATACAATCACATTAGCAATTAGATTCATAATACGTGAAAAGTAACACGCTCATCTCCAGTCAGTTTGCTTTCAAAAACAGAGGTTGATCAGTTACTTCATTTACAATACTTTCTTCATCACACAGCAGACGAACAAAATACGGTATCGGCGAGGTTTTATATGTTGTAGTACGTGCATACAGTTTTATGGACTTGCTATTCATCTTTCCAGATAACCAACATGCAGAGAGCCTTGAGTGAAGGCGATGTTGATCAGCTGAAAAAATAACCCCCTCAAAAGTTCACATGAGTTAATATGTTTCTCCACAACAGTTTTAAACAAAAAGTTGAGGGGTGCACAACCAGTTCTGCCGGCAATCTTCAAAGGTCTACGCAATATAGCACAACCTTTTCAGCAACCCGGAGAAAAAAAAAGATGCAATAGACGAAGAGACAGGCAAGATGCAGGAAATTAAAAAAAAGAAGAGGAGAGGCTAAGTAATACCCGACACACGCAGCCTCCTGATAAAGAAAGCAAAGTCAAAGATTCCCTTGAAAACTAATGAGATATGGGAAGGCCGAAAAAGGTCCAAAGAAAAACACACGTGAAGATAAATCACATTTGTAACATTTCCTAATGCGCAACTATCAATAGAACAGGAATCATGAGAACTAAGCAGTTTAAACAAGTCATGTTCATGTCTAAAACTAAATAAAGTTCATGGTCTGACATTTTGAAGAATTAAGCATAAGACCATTCTTGGAGGACTGTCGTCTGACAGTGGATAAGAAGTTATTCAGTTGGGTGCGATCTGCTGTAGAGGATATACGTATGGAAACTGTTAGGTCATCAGCGTATTTAACGAAATTGATACCAGCTGAAGATGGTAGGTCATGCAGAAAGAGTGCGAAAAGACTTGGGGAAAGGATAGCTCCTTGGGGAACTCCATTCACAGTTAGCAATGAGGTGTAGCCCTTCCCTCTGTGAACAGTATGTTGGTTCCTACCAGAGAAACAGAAATGCAGCCAGTTAACTACCAAGGACTCAGTATTTGTCCTGGTTGGCTTGTCCAGCAAAAGAGATCTTAGGACAGAGTCAAATGCCGAAGTATAGTCTAAAAAGGCACACATGACATACTTGGCATTTTTATCAAGACTATAAGTAATATCGTGATATAAGAGAGTGGTAGCATCCAAAGTACTTCTTCCGCTTTTTTATGCAGATTGATTGGGGTCTCCAGAAGCCTCCAGTGAGGGCTTGAGTGCAGGTGTTATAAGCTTCTCGATTATTTTGGAGAACGCAGATGTAACTGCAATCGGACGATATTTTGTATATGCACCTGGAATCCTGGACTTAAGTACGGGGACTATCTTAATTTCTTTCCAGGCAGCCGGCATGGTGTTTTCTAAAAACGATCTGTTGAACATGTTTGCTGATGGATGACATAAAATATCAGGACACTTCTTGAATACGAAGCTTGATAGACCATCTAGACTTGAAATGTGAGAAGGGTTCAGGGATTTGATAGATTTGAAAACATCGTTCGCAGTGAACTCTGGACAGCGTTCTTCATTCGACATAGGTGGAGAGAGTGGGATGGGACAGATGGGTTGACGTATAAACGGTTCGTTCAAGGCATAGACACCGAAATGTGCTTCTTTACTGTAGTATTTACCACCGGTGAGGCATTTAAAAAGTTTCCACATGCCGAAGAGACCTTGTACAACAAACGTTTCTGGTTGTAGAGTAGACTCAGACGTTTAATTTCCAACCTAATTAAGACGTTCAATTGACGAGCACCAGCAATATCACTTACCTTATACAGTCTTTCTTTTTCTCTCCCTAGTCTCTTAAGCTGTGTAGAAGATGTACGATCGAAGCGTAGGAAAGCCTATTCACTACGTCAACATATTTCTAGGCAGAACCTGAAATAGCATGTTGCACCATCATTAGCATCATTCAAATCACCGCTGTCAAATATATTCCAGTCTGTACATTGAAGCATCTCTCTTAGGTTAAATATGTTACTAAGTGAATAGTTCCTATGTACAATCATCTCATATGTGAAGGCTGCTTTTGTAGTTTGTCATATATTTTGGGCAAAACGCGTATGATACAATGATCTGAGCTCAGCAGTGGGGACCTCTTTCGAGCTTCGTATGTATCAGTAACACTGACGAATACCAAGTCCAGTGTTGCATCCTGACGCGTTGTGAAGTTAACAATGTTTCGATGACCAAGAGTTTTGAGAAATCTTCGGTTATAGAAGAAAAACACACGTGAAGATAAATCACATTTGTAACATTTCCTAATGCGCAACTATCAATAGAACAGGAATCATGAGAACTAAGCAGTTTAAACAAGTCATGTTCATGTCTAAAACTAAAGTTCATGGTCTGACATTTTGAAGAATTAAGCATAAGACCATTCTTGGAGGACTGTCGTCTGACAGTGGATAAGAAGTTATTCAGTTGGGTGCGATCTGCTGTAGAGGATATACGTATGGAAACTGTTAGGTCATCAGCGTATTTAACGAAATTGATACCAGCTGAAGATGGTAGGTCATGCAGAAAGAGTGCGAAAAGACTTGGGGAAAGGATAGCTCCTTGGGGAACTCCATTCACAGTTAGCAATGAGGTGTAGCCCTTCCCTCTGTGAACAGTATGTTGGTTCCTACCAGAGAAACAGAAATGCAGCCAGTTAACTACCAAGGACTCAGTATTTGTCCTGGTTGGCTTGTCCGGCAAAAGAGATCTTAGGACAGAGTCAAATGCCGAAGTATAGTCTAAAAAGGCACACATGACATACTTGGCATTTTTATCAAGACTATAAGTAATATCGTGATATAAGAGAGTGGTAGCATCCAAAGTACTTCTTCCGCTTTTTTATGCAGATTGATTGGGGTCTCCAGAAGCCTCCAGTGAGGGCTTGAGTGCAGGTGTTATAAGCTTCTCGATTATTTTGGAGAACGCAGATGTAACTGCAATCGGACGATATTTTGTATATGCACCTGGAATCCTGGACTTAAGTACGGGGACTATCTTAATTTCTTTCCAGGCAGCCGGCATGGTGTTTTCTAAAAACGATCTGTTGAACATGTTTGCTGATGGATGACATAAAATATCAGGACACTTCTTGAATACGAAGCTTGATAGACCATCTAGACTTGAAATGTGAGAAGGGTTCAGGGATTTGATAGATTTGAAAACATCGTTCGCAGTGAACTCTGGACAGCGTTCTTCATTCGACATAGGTGGAGAGAGTGGGATGGGACAGATGGGTTGACGTATAAACGGTTCGTTCAAGGCATAGACACCGAAATGTGCTTCTTTACTGTAGTATTTACCACCGGTGAGGCATTTAAAAAGTTTCCACATGCCGAAGAGACCTTGTACAACAAACGTTTCTGGTTGTAGAGTAGACTCAGACGTTTAATTTCCAACCTAATTAAGACGTTCAATTGACGAGCACCAGCAATATCACTTACCTTATACAGTCTTTCTTTTTCTCTCCCTAGTCTCTTAAGCTGTGTAGAAGATGTACGATCGAAGCGTAGGAAAGCCTATTCACTACGTCAACATATTTCTAGGCAGAACCTGAAATAGCATGTTGCACCATCATTAGCATCATTCAAATCACCGCTGTCAAATATATTCCAGTCTGTACATTGAAGCATCTCTCTTAGGTTAAATATGTTACTAAGTGAATAGTTCCTATGTACAATCATCTCATATGTGAAGGCTGCTTTTGTAGTTTGTCATATATTTTGGGCAAAACGCGTATGATACAATGATCTGAGCTCAGCAGTGGGGACCTCTTTCGAGCTTCGTATGTATCAGTAACACTGACGAATACCAAGTCCAGTGTTGCATCCTGACGCGTTGTGAAGTTAACAATGTTTCGATGACCAAGAGTTTTGAGAAATCTTCGGTTATAGAAGAAAAACACACGTGAAGATAAATCACATTTGTAACATTTCCTAATGCGCAACTATCAATAGAACAGGAATCATGAGAACTAAGCAGTTTAAACAAGTCATGTTCATGTCTAAAACTAAAGTTCATGGTCTGACATTTTGAAGAATTAAGCATAAGACCATTCTTGGAGGACTGTCGTCTGACAGTGGATAAGAAGTTATTCAGTTGGGTGCGATCTGCTGTAGAGGATATACGTATGGAAACTGTTAGGTCATCAGCGTATTTAACGAAATTGATACCAGCTGAAGATGGTAGGT